TGCTCGTGTTCCTTTCCCGCTCCACGACGACACGCATGGGTTGTGCAGATGCGCTTGCGCAGCCACGCCCATCACTAGGGCTGATTTCATAGCCACGCCCATCACTAGGCTGATTTCATAGCCACGCCCACTAGGCTGATTTCATAGCCCACGCCCACCCTAGGGCTGATTTTCATAGCCACGCCCATCCTAGGGTTATTTCGGGTAGGGCTTCTATTGAGCACGATGCTTAGAAATCCTGCTGGGGTTATTTCATGGGTAGGCTTATTTTTGGAAACAGTATTTGGGGCCAGGAGTGTGCTGTAGTCCAGCTACTGGGTCAGTTGAGACAGGATAGCTTGAGGCCGGAGTTAGAGGCTGCCTCGGGCTGCGATTGTGCTTGTGAGTACCCACTGCACCTCGTCTGGACAACATAAAAAAAAAAAAAGTTCAAAGGAGTAAATAGAAAATTCTTGCCCAGGAAATCATTCCTTTCTTAACAAAAGATGCTTACATGGCTTCACAATGTCAGATTACCTTTCTCTTTGAATCCAGTTGGTAGGTGAATGCTTGGCTCTCGGGAAATCTTATTCACTCTTCTTTTCCACCAGGAGTATGGCACTGGGCCGTCTGTGACTTTATTGGAGTTTCTTAGTTTCCCACTTATTTATAGTGCAGGTGTTCACCGTGAAACACAGTGCTTCTCTAGCGTGAGGAGTTAACTCAGCCTGTTATGTCCTTAATTTGAGTGCTTATCCATTTGAGTATGGTGGAATTGAGCAAGACCAGAGATTGTCGCGTTCAGACCTGCCCCAAGTGTACCCTTCTCATCCGCCCCGTGAGAGCTCTAGTGCTCCACAGGAGAGATGGGGCCAGTGGTTCTAAAGGAAATAGAGTCGCAAGACATTCAGGATGGGATTCGGGGTTTGGAGAGTGAGGATGATGTTCCAGAAGACGACGACTTCACTCTATTTGGATCAATGTAGATTGTTGTACCTTACTTAAAAAAAAAATAACACATGCCCTGAAAATAAGCCCTAGGGTGTCTTCTTGAGGAAAAATAAATATAAGATCCTGTTTTATTCTCGGGGAAACACGGTAGTCTTGAACTTATCTGACCCATCTCTACTGGAAGCTCTAGGAACAGGACGAGGGTAGGGAGTGAATTGAGACTATTATTACTAACAACACTGCAATGCCAAGATTATCCATATACAAAAACTGCCACTGGAGAACATTCTTTTTGAAATGGCATCAGTGCAAATACAGCAAAGGGGACAACTGCAGGTTCAGGGTCGTTCTAGATAATGTCTTATAAATTTTCTATTCCTCTTCATGCTTTTGGACTGTGCAAATCCACAGAACACAGAACTTAGAAAACAAGGCACCCAGGACAACTAACTCAGGGAGGGGTGGGATCCGTACCTGTGAGGAGGCAGCCTAGGACCAGGAACGTCCGATGGGAAGTCCCCATAGCTCTGGAAAACTGCAAAAGTCAAACAGAAACGGTATTAGCCAAAAGAAGCAACACTTGACCCTACTTCTCCTTCTTTGTGGTCTGCATAATGGAAAACATGAACAGCCTCATTTTAGTCAAAAATGTCCCAAGTTTAAGATTTAAAACAGTGAGATGCCTGGGAAGATAATAGCCCAATTCGGCCCCAAGATCATGACAGGAGCCGGCTGAAGCTGGACCCCCTGTGACCGCTGCAGCCTTTAAATTCTGAAAAGTTCCAGAACGTGTCCAGGAGTACAGGTGAACTGTTCCTTTTACACCACTTAAATTAAGAACGTGAGCCTGGCGCGGTGGCTCACGTCTGTAATCCTAGCACTCTGGGAGGCCAAGGTAGACGAATCACTCAAGGTCAGGAGTTCGAAACCAGCCTGAGCAAAACTGAGACCCCGTCTCTACTAAAAATAGAAAGAAATTAATTGGCCAACTAAAAACATATATATATAAAAATGAGCCAGGCGCGGTGGTGCATGCCTGTAGTCCCAGCTACTTGGGAGGCTGAGGCAGGAGGATCGCTTGAGCCCAGGAGTTTGAGGTTGCTGTGAGCTAGGCTGACACCACGGCACTCACTCTAGCCTGGGCAACAAAGTGAGACTCTGTCTCAAAAATAAAAGAGAGAGAAAGAAAAGAAAAATCCAGTGGATTCCTGTGTGTACCCCTAGTTGGGATCCTGAGTTTTTATGCTTTTTATGTTTGGGGGTTTTTTGGTTGGTTTGGTTGGTTGGTTGGTTGGTTGGTTGGTTGGTTGGAGAAGATCCGGTAAAGAACAGCCTAAATGCAGTTTTGGTGGTGCCTGATCGTGTCTGTTTGCTTCAAGGTGGCCCTACTTGCAGAAATCAGATTTCTTTACTGAGTTCCACCAGGAAAACAGAGGAGGAAAAAATGACAGAGTGAAAGGTGGAATGGGAAGGGGGCAGGCTAGATAGAAAAATTAAAAAAAAATAAAAAAAAGAAGAGAATGAGAAACCATTAATTTTATTAAATTGTATTGATGTTATTTATTTATTTATTTATTTAGAGATGGGGGGCCGTGCCCCGTCATCCAGGCTGGAAGTTTGGTGGCTATTCACAGGTGCAATCATCGCACGCTACAGAGAAACCGTTATTTACTGAGCCAACGTGTTCATGGCTACGCCGAGCTTGTTAAGAGTAACCCTGTGATTATTTCAAGTTGATTCTAAGAACGGGGCAGCCGAGGCTCAGAGAGGTTTAGTGAATGACCCGAAGTCACACAGATGGTGGCAGAGCCAGGATTCTGCACGACGCAAAAGATGCAAAAGCTATGTGTTCTCTTCACTCTGCCATATGGTCTCTCTCTGGAGGGAAGTCTGGTGTTTCAGCCATGTCCCACCCCTGCGCTCTCCCCCCCCTCCCCCCCATGCCCTACTATTTTCTTATGCAAATGAGCACCCCCTTCCTTTTCTGTTCCCCACTGCAGGAGAAGCAGGATTGCAGGATTTCAGCGCTGGGAGCCCAAATGCAATGTGCACAGTGCTGGGTGGCTGATGGCTCCCCAGGTCCCTGGCATGTGCCCGGGATGCAGAGTGGCGGGCACAGCGGGGGCCCCAGAGCCAGGCTGGCCAGCCTGATTTACCACAATTAGCAGAAACGCCTGTGCATTTGTACATATAAATATCAGCCTCCCACCGATAATCCACTTAGCAAACTTCAAAGGAGACCTCCAGAGCCAGCCGGGTGTCTTGGGCTTTATCACATCTACATCCTGCATTTCTTTCGCAAGGCTTGCCAACGATGCATCTCGAAAGTATTCCCGGGCGCAGCAAGAGGGGCTTGCTGCTTTTGCAGCCCAGGCTCTCGGGAGCGCTTCGCCCTGGCCAGGCCCCACCAGATTTCCTTCTGTGCATCTAGATATGACACAGCCCTGCTGCCAGGGAGGATCATTTACTGACACGCAAAGTGGGCAAAGAAAACGGGGCCCCTGGGCAAGCGATAATGATGCAAATGCTGAGAATCAACATGTGTTTGCTTAAGATTTCAGAACGCCCTTCTCTGATCACATCGGTTTTCCCTGGCTAGAAATCCAGGCGGATTTGTGAGGTTTCATGTCATTCCTCAGCTGTACCTTGGACAATTTGCTTGCAAATAACCCACAGTGAGGTGATGGAGAACAACGAGAGAGACAGACGCTTTGCTCATCTGCTGGCGCTATAACTGAGAATCTGAGAGTGAGTCTTGCTATTTCCGGCAAGACATTCCTACTCTGGGAGTGAATGCTCATTCTTAATTAGTAACTGCCATCCTGGAGCTCATCCAAAAGTCAGAGCTGCATCCAAAGTCAGAGTGTTAAGTAACGGAGGTTCCAAATTCTAACGAACATGCTACCCTAAGAGTCACTGTGGACAAGCCACTTTGCAGGGAGGGACAACGGATTTTATACAAATCATTTTTTTTAAAAAAATCACAGTGATTTCTTTCATGCCGACTACATGTTGAACTTCAGCCTCAGTCCTCCGTAATCACAGCTCAAAAAGCGTTTGCCACAGTTAGAGAAACAAACCAGGAAAAGAGACCTCTGCCACGTTCGCTGTCAGGCAGGTGACTTGTGGGTTCCCCTTCCTCTTGTCCTTCTTATACTTTCTCCCAGAAGATATGATGGAAATCAGATTGGCCTAGGTACTGATCCCGAATATGACACTTTGGGATCCACTCTGAACCTCAGTCTCTTCTTCTGTAAATCAGGACTAATCAGAACAGACTAGTAAGGACTAAACTAGACAGTTTAATTGAAAGTGGTTTGGTTTTCATATTGACTCTTTTTCTGCAGATTTCTAAGATGTTTTAGATGAGAAGCATGTCAGAGGTAGCTACTTAAACTCCTCCTTCCTAAGAAAAGACAGGGAGGGCCCCAGACGCCATATGACTTGCCCTCCTGCCTACTGCGGAAGTGGATCTGAACCCTGATTGTGCCCAGGGCCAGTGCCCAGTAGTCCACTCCTACCCTTGCTACCTCCAGCCTGGGATAGCTACAAAGACTAGTTTATGGCCAGATCACCCTGTAATCCTAGCACTCCGGGAGGCCAAGGCAGGAGGATCACTTGAGGCCAGGAGTTCAAGAACAGCCTGAGCAAGAGCAAGACCCCATCTCTACAAAAAAAATAGAAAAATTAGCCGGGCATGGTGGCGTGCCCCTGTAGTCCCAGCTACTTGGGAGGCTGAAGCAGGAGAATTGCTTGAGCCCATGAGTTTGAGGTTGCAGCGAGCTGTGATGAGACGATTGCACTCTGACCCAGGGGACAGAGCAAGACTCTGTCTAACAAAAAAGACCCCTTTAGGATGAACCAAATATACAAATCTGTTTGCAGCTACTATCCTTTCTCTTTAACGGGGGGCTATGTCCTCCCACTCAAACAGAATTAATTGAAGAGCCATTGATCGTGACTCTATTTGAAAAGCTACAACGTAAACAGATGGCAAGCAATGCAAAGGCTCTATTTCCAGAAGAACTGAGAACTATTCTTCTCACGAAGCCAGAGAGCCAGCTTCCCCGTCACCCAACCAACCAGCACCTCCCGCTGCCGAACTATAGAATATTGAGTTTCACTCCACTCTCGCATGATTACAAGCCACGGGAGACTCCCTTGCAGCCCCCAAAGCCACCGCTGACTTCAAGATTCAAATTTCCGAGGTTCAGCTAATTCCAGCTCTCTCCTAAGTTAATTCTAACTGTGAAAATTACACATCTGATTTTTTTTTTCTCTGCAACGAACGTCCTGCTCAGCCTCGAAACTTCAGCCCAGGCCACCGGACAGCAGGTCTACACTGGCGGCAGCTTCTCCCTGTTTCCCAGCAGAGCGTGTTTACCGGGACCTCCGCAACCCACCAGAGGCTGCTGTGTTGTTTTGATCTCCCAGAGCTCCGTCAGACATTCCAGGGATGGGTGGGGGCTGGGGTATTTTTACACAGGAGCATTTTATGGCACAATCTGAGCTCATAAACCTTTCTCCCCTCCCTGCACCAGATATTTAACCCCAGGAGACTAAAGCGGCACTTCCTCTTGATTGTCACCAAACGGGTGTGACTCCTAAAGGGACAGCCTTAGGAGGAGCAGCTTGGAGTACACTTAGGCATGGGGTTGGAGGTCCCCAAGCCCCCACGCTCAGTCCCCTCACTCATAAACCAGAACACAGACAGCCCTGCCTGCCAAACTAGCGCAGGCCTGCAATGATAATCAGATGCCCAACATGTGCAAGAAAAAGATTAACAACGAAGGAGAAAAGCAACACTCATGTCCACAAAATAAATGATGACTGTCCAACGATCCTTGTAGCTCTGCAAGAAAAGAAGACCTTTTACGCCATCTTTTACGGTCCTAATGGGCCAAAATTGCATCTTCCTAATGCAACTAACTAACTACTGGCTCCCAATCTCCTGCTAAGCCCACTCCCCAGGGGATGGCGGCAGTGCTCGGGAGCGGCCGGCAGATGGCGGTGTTGGTCCACGGACGAGCACCGGGGTCCGCGGAGACGCAGACGCGGATTCTGAGCCACGACGTCCCCAAATCGTAACCTCCAATCCTTTCCGTTCTTACTCTGTACTCGTGGGCTTCGCGGTGACCGCAGTGGAAAGCCCGCGGAGTGGAGGCAGGAATAAGCAATAAGCGCTGCTGCGAAAACGTCTACCTGCGGTCGGGGCCCAGGGGAGCTGGCGAGGGGCGCGCCGCGCGTCCCCGTCCCCGTCCCCGTCCCCGTCCCCGGTCCCGGTCCCCGTCCCCGTCCCCGTCCCCGTCCCCGTCCCCGGGAGCCGGCGCTGCAGCCGCAGCTGGGCGGGACTCGCCCCCGTTCTGTGCGTCCCTGCTCGCGCCCCTCGGGGCAGGGGCGCACCTGGCCAGGCGGGGCCGGGGCCGCGTCGCCGATCAGGGCCACGGCCACCCCCGCAAACCCGCCGCCGGGGCGCGAGTGGAGACGGCGTGCCGCTGCACCACGACGCGGGGCCGTGGAACCAAGGAGCCCGCGCGGCTGGGACGCGGAGGGGCGCCCGTCCCCGGGAGCGCGCGGGACCCGACCCGTCCCGCCAGCACGACGCCCCGCTCCAGCCCCAGAGCCGGGACCCCGGGCCCTCCCGTCCACGCGGCGTCTGCCCGGCTCCCAGTGGCGGCCCCGGCCGGGGAAAGGCGGCCCCGCTCGGCCCCGGTCCCCGCGCTGCGCTGCGCTGCGCCCGGGCCGCTAGAGGGCGCGGCCGCCCGCGGGTCTTACCGCTCGCCCGCCCGGTCGGCCCCGACAGCGCAGCGGGACCGCGGCTCGCCCGCCTCCGCCCGGGCTCCGCGCGGGCACCGCCCGCCTCCTCCGCGGCCCAGTCGCCCGGGTCGCCGGCCGCGCCGCTGCTCGGGGACCCGCGCCGGCGACCTCACAGCCGCGGAGGCCGGCGCGCCCCAGGCCCCGCGCTCGGCGCTCGCACTGTTTCCCACTGAGCCTGGAGCGGCGGGGCGCGGCGGGCGAGGGGCGCGGCGGGGGAGCCGGGCGCAGGGTTTAGGGTTACAGGCGCGCGCCAGCGCCTCCTACGGGCCCGACGGCAGCACGGCCGCGGGCAGCGGCTCACGGGGAGGCTGGCGATGGGGAGGCCCGCGCCCCCTCGGTTTTTAAGAGCCCGGTGCCCACCTGGGCTGTCGCCCGCCCACCCCGCGCCCGTCGCGCCCACCCCGCGCCCGTCGCGCCTCCGGCTCCCTTGTCGCAGGGGAGCGGGGGCTGCAGCGGGAGGCCGGGAAGGGGGTACCCCAAGTCCGAGGTTCCCTTACACCCCCCCCCCCGCAGCCCACTTTTCCACCCCACGCCTGCGCTGCCGTTCGGCTCAAAACAAAAGGAAACGCCGCGGAGCCACTTCGGCCGAGACCAGCGTGGGCAGAGCGGGACTGGGGCGCAGGGGGCGGCCATGCACCCCCACCCCGCAGCTCGCACCCGGCCGAGCCCGAAGGCCCCTCCTAAGTCTGATGCTGCGGGCGGACCCCGAACGCTGGACGCGAGCGACGCCGAGAGCCGCACCTTTTGGTCACCCAGCCGGGCGTTTAGCTCTTTCCCCAGAATTGCCACTTTCCCCACCGCCCCCCGCAACATGTAACCTGGTCGCGGCTCCCTGGAGGTCAGAGGGAGTCCCGCCTGCGGGTCTGCGGGAAGGCGCTGGCCACCACGTCCCCAGAACGCGTCCCGGAGAGGCGCGCCGCCCACGGTCTGTCCCCAGGAGGCACCAAACGGGCCCGCCTCGGCGCCAGACGCTTTTGCAGCTGGAGAGCCCCGCCCAACGCCCCTCCCCCTGCGTCCCTGCCCACCCCGCGTCCCGGGAGGGAGGCGGCCCAGGGCCCGGGCGCGGGGGGCCGCACTCTGCTTCCGTCCCTCTCGCTCCAAGGGCCGGAGCAAGAGCCAGGGCACCAGGGGCACCAGGGGCCAGCGACGGGCTCAGTGCCGGCGCCCCCTCTCCTCCCGTCCCCCGCTCCGGTGAGCAAGGTCTGGCTGCACTTGGTCAATCCCAGAGCAGGACCGCGCGAGAGCTCCGGAGCAGGGACCGACCAAGGTGTCAAAGACAAGCGGGTCGGCCCCACGCCTGTCGGGGAGCCGAGGGAGGGCCCCCCGCCGTGAGGACTGTGGAGAGGGGTCGGAGGAGAGAGACAGAGACGGGGGAGGGGACGCAACGCCGCAGAGCCAGGGTCCAGGTTGGACAAATTGGGGGGACGGGGTGGGGTGGACGTCAGAGCCAGCGCAGCAGCGGGTGGGGGCGCACGCCCGGGGACCCTCCTCCCCTCCTGCGGGGACCTTAGTCCGGTGAGATGGGTGGCTGAGGACTGCGGTGCCTCATTTTCCCTGGATGCCTACCGCTGCTCCAAAAATCTGTCTAGCTCTGGTCGAGAGCGACCGCGGCGAGGCGAGTCGGCCAAAACGTTGAGCAATTCGGCCACGGAGCCAAAAAGCCATTTCCCACACCGCCCGGCCCGGGGCTGCTGCAGGCAGCTCGGCCGGGCGCGGGGCGGTCGGGACGCGACAGGGGCCATCGGTGCCTGCTGCCTCCCACCCTGGGACATCAAGGGAGTGGCAAGTTCTTCCAGACACTCTCCCCGCACCTCTAAAGTCTCAGCAGGGCTGGGGAGCGACGTGCGGGCCCCGCTGTCTGGCCGCGGGAGACCCAGACCGCGAACAGCCAGCCAGTCCCGCACTTCGCGACCAAGGCGACAGGCCAGGCGACCCGCGGCTCCTGCGCGCCTGGCCGGGCTCCTGGCTCCCTCCGGCGACCCGACCGTACTCCGGTCGGGCCACACTCCCTCTTGCTCTGAGCTGGCCGACACCCTTTCCGAAGAGAGCCGCTGATGCCAGTTTCAGGGCCAAACGGACGCCGCCCGCCCCCCGGGCGCTGCCCGCGTAAAAACCGATTTCCGCGGGGCTCGACGGCGGCGCAGGGGGAGCACGCACAGACGGCTCCGAGGCCGGCGGGGAGAGGAAAGCGCGATTGGAGAGGACCACGCAGCTCAGGGCACGCGCGGCGGCAAGTGCCACGCATCCCCGCGCGCAGAGGGACACCGGGGAGGGGACCCGAGCTCGGGCGCCCCGAGGGACAGGCTGCGGGCGGTTCGCCTCCCACCTTTTTGTCTTACCTGCAGCCAACTTTCTCCGGTTCCAAGTCGTCCCTAACTAACTTCCTTACAAGAAGTTCGTCACTTTCCAGGAGACCTTTCCTCTTCTCCTGCCTGCGGCGGCGGGGACCGAGTCGCGGCAGAGCCCCGGGCTTCGCAGAAACGATCAACCGAGGAAAGGGGCGCGCGGAGACCGGTGGGGGCGGGGGACCACCGCGCACAATGAGGGCCCCTTGGAGTGCAGTTCGAAATTCCTCAAATCCCAGTTGCTGGAATGCGAGGCGACGGCGACTCCTTCACTCTGGGCCAAATGTGTTTGTCATTACTCCAGACCGCCCGCCCGCCCGCGCAGCCGCCGCGGCTGTCGCCCCCGCGCTTGGGCGTGCAACCCGAGCGCACTGCCCGGTGGGCGTCCGCTGTCCCTCGCACCTCGCAGGCCGAGAGATCACCCCGGTCTGTCCCCAAAGCCCGCGTCCCCCCGGCTTGTCCTGCAGCCGCCCCTCCGCGGTGCTTAATGTGGCCCCGGCTCGCACTGGGCGCAGCGCCGTCCAGCAATTACGCGCGCTCGGCTGGCGCCACGCGCGCCCGGCCCGCACCGCGGACTCCGGCCTCCTCCAGCCGAGCCCTTCACGCCTCCCCCGGCCCCGGACCCCTCCAGCGCCCCACTCTGCGCTCCTCTTCGCCACCTCCCCCGTCCCCAGCCGCGCCGCACGCCACCCGCTGCAGGGCTGTCCCGCCAAACCGCAGGCGAGCAAAGAAAATACTCATTTAAAACCTGTCGCCTTCCAGGACCCGCTGCCAAGAAGAGGGCAAACACCTCTGCCACCACCCCCGGCGTCACTTGGTGTCAGTCCCAGCACTCACGAATGCCACCCCCGCTCCCAAAAGCGACCTCAAAAATGTAAGCCTAAACAATTTCTTTGCGAGGCCATAGGGTTGTTAGAAAAACATCGCTTTTAAAAATAGGTCTGGAAAACGTGTGTGTGTGTGTGTGTGTGTGTGTGTGTGTGTGTGTGTGTGTGTGTGTGTGTGTTATAATTCCTAGACTTTCTAACTCTACGGTTATCTCTCCAAGTGAAGTTTATTCAAAAAAAAAATAAATAAATTACTCTCTGGACACACAACCGGAATTCACTCCATTTTTTTTCTTTCTTACTGCCCAAAGTTTGAAGTTACTTCGCTCCTGGTTCCAGCACCGGATTCTGATCAGGGACTCCCCTTAGAAACAAAAATCCCTTTTTCTTCTCCCTTACCTTCTCCTCGTAGGTCAGTCTGCAATGAAAATCCTACACATGGAGCAAAAAGGGTGCCCACGGCCTGCAAAACTCTGCCGCGGCCCCTTCCTCCGGTCCTCTCCTCGTAGCGCCGACTGCAAACGCGCTCAAAACCCGAGTTTTGGAATTGATTCGATGTTATAGTCCATCCTTCTAAAACTAATCATTTTCTCTAAGTAAATAGCTGTCAGGAAATAAAGCCCCCCCTCCCTTACGTTGGCCTCTTCAAAATAAAAGTTGTTCTCAACTCCCAGCGCCCGGAGTCTCCCAGTCTCCAGACTGCGCCTGGGCTTTTCGCTCTTACGCAATCAGGGGGTCCAGTCCCAACCCCCAGACTTCGACAACAACTGGGGGGGGGCGGGGAGAAGCAGACCAGATGGGCTGGGGGGGGGGGTTGGGAGGGGGAGGTGTGGATGCTTTGCCGGGAAAGACGTTTTTTGTGAAACTGCAAACAGCCCATCATTTCCAGAATGAGTTTGCCTCCCAATTTGGGGGTTATTTTCCTGCACTGCTATAATTCTGTGTTCTCTTTGAAAAGTAGAAAAAGAACGTGTACGATTGCGGTCGATGCCCAGGGAGCATGGAAATCTGAAATCGAGAGATGCCCCTTCCGTGGAAACTCCTAGCCCAGCTAGAAACGGGACCCTCAGGAGGGGGGGAAAATCACCAAGCGGTTTTTGCGCCTTTTTGAACCAGGGGTCTTAGGGAAAGTGCTGCGTGTGGTTGCTAATCCTTTAATGGGATTAGGCAAACTGTTGAGTCCAATATGACAATGACGATTTTCTTTCTTTCTTTCTTTCTTTTCTTTCTTTCTTTCTTTTCTTTCTTTCTTTCTTTTCCTATTTCCTTTTTTGAAAGACTGGATGGAGTCTCAAATGGGGTGCAAAAAACTGGGGGTCTGTGCAGGTTTGCAACGTCGCCCTGCAGAATGCCCTTTGCTCCCTCGGAGCCACTTATCTTGTCGCGCCTTTGTTTTCGGGGTTATCTGGGCGAGGCTGCCCAGGCTTCTATCTCGCCAACAAAAAAAAAAGGCTCAGGCTCGGGCGCTGAGGGGGACTCGGCTACGACACACGTCTGCCTCCCCCGCGTCCGGGGAGAGAGCGCACGGTGGCCCTCCCTGCGTCCCCTCCCTCGTGGGGCGGACTCTGCGACTGCCCCGGGGTCGAAAGCCGGGCCCCTACGCCGGTGCCCGGGCGCGAGGAGGGACGGCTGTCCCTGTCCGGGGACAGCGATGCCGCGCGCGGGGGAAAGGGGGCGCCGACGCTCCAGGAACCAGCCCCGGGCGGACGCGGCTCCGACTGCGAGCGGGGGAGGGGAGCGCGGTCCCCCTTCCCGGCTTTCTCGGATTTTTGAATTCTCCTGTCGTTGGAGGCGGGGGTGGGTCGTCTCCCATCCCCCCTCCCGGGGACCCCCGACCCTCTCCCTCGCGCTCTGCAAGTGGCCGGGGCGGCCGGGCGGGGACCCGCACGTCGAACAGCCACCACCTTCTCCCTGGCCCGGAGGGTGGACGCGGGGACGCGGGCACAGGAGGGGGGCGGAGAAGTGCTGCGCCCAGTGGGCCAGGATCTTGAGGTGTCAGGCTGGAGAGGGGGCCGCCTGGGGCCGCGCTGGGGGCCCCGCTGCTCCCCGCTCCTCTGCGCGCCCGCCTCCCGTGCGTCTTCGGCTCGGGTGACCGCGCGCTCGCTATTACTTCCACATGTTCCTCCAGGAAATCATTGAAGGCAAATATATGAACAGCCCCTTGTTCGGAATGCTAACAGGATACCGTAATGTTTGTAGATGACGCGCGCGGACAAATGCCCCCCCCCCAACACGTCAGCGTGCGGAGTGCAAATGAAAAGTGGGTGCTGGGTCTCACGCCATGACTACAGGGGACATCTGAGTTTTCCGCCAGGTAACCAAGAGGGGGGGAGGAGGCGAGGCAGGGAGCCTACTCAGGGGGGCCAGCCCGGTCACGCCGGGGTCTCCGGTCCCCAGGGCCCCAGCGCTGCCCGCCCACAAATGGTAACTTCGCAGTTCAGTTCAGAGCGGTGTAAAGGGGCCCCAAAGACAGGCCGGGCGGGGGGTTCCCGGAGCGTTTTAACTCCTGGGGCGTTTAAAGCGGAGAGCAATGGATGCCCAAGCGGGCGCCCAGTTGCCCTTCTGGTAGTAATTACCTGCCTAATTTGAATGATGCCTTTGTTACGATCATTAACAAACATTTGCTAAAGGTTTCCATGTGTGACATTCTGGAAGGTTTAAAGGCCCGGGGAGCCGACTCCGGGGACAGCGCCCTGGTGGGGGGTGGCGCAGCGAAGCAAATGGCTGGGGGCGGCGGGGGGTGGCGTAGATGTCGCCGAGTCCGGACCCTGCAAAGAAGAGAGGCCAACATCTGCCTCCCCTGCAAAAAGCAAAATAAACCCAGTGGTCAGGAGCAACTGCGGGGCCGGCGGGCCTCGAACCGAGGCGGTTGGTTGCTTAAACCGAGTCCTGCCCCCCGCCCGGGGCAGCCCCCGCCCCGGCCAGTGCTCATAGGCGGGTTTGAACCGTGTTTTCCGCCCTCCGCGGCTGGGCCGAGGCTTCGGGAGAGGTCGGGCCTGCGACCGTGGTTCTGCCCCGGGTGTCGGGGAGTTAGGGGCTGGGCCAAGCCGTGCTCCTCTTGCAGGGTTGTTCTGGGATCCTTCCCGATTGCTCCCTCGCCGCCCTGGGCACCCCAAGGAGTGACCTTCACCTCCACGGGCAGCTATGGAAAGGTCAAACCAAGCATGCATTTTTTTTTTTTTTAGTCAGTCTCACTCTGATGCTCAGGCTAGAGTGAGTGCCATGGTGTCAGCCTAGCTCACAGCAACCTCCAACTCCTGAGCTCAAGCTATCCTCCTGCCTCAGCCTCCCAAGTAGCTGGGACTACAGGCATGCGCCACCATGCCCGGCTAATTTTTTCTATATATTTTTAGTCAGCCAATTAATTTCTTTCTATTTATAGTAGAGACAGGGGTCTCGCTCTTGCTCAGGCTGGTTTCGAACTCCTGACCTCGAGCAATCCTCCCGCCTCGGCCTCCCAGAGTGCTAGGATTACAGGCGTGAGCCACCGCGCCTGGCCACCGAGCATGCATTTTGATGTTCAACCTCTTGGGGTTTTTTTCTAGAGGGATCATCAAGGGGTTAAGAATGAGGATTTTTTTTTTCTCCCCAAACCAGGAATCCCGGCAGCTGCGATGCAAGAGAAAGGAGCCCGGACTTGCCAGTGGGTCTGGGCCGGGGAGTTCAGGGATGAGGCTGGGAGCCGGCCTCTGGCCTTGGCCTCGCACCTCTTGGCCTAATGGAGGAGTGACATTAGCTGCCAGGGTGCAAAGAAGTACAGTCGATGAGCCAACCTTCAAAAGGAGGTTGGCCTCCTGAACTTCCTGCAGCCAGATCAAAAGGGTCACTGAAAACACAAAAACAAAATCTCACCACGCCCTGCCCTGTCCCCTGGGCTGGCTCTCGGGTTGCAGCCACCCCTTGGGCTTTCGTGGGAGGTCCCCCGCAGAGGTGGCTTTTTGTGTCTTCTCTTCCTCTGCTCCCCTATTCCACCCGCCCCCCCCAATTCCACTTCCCTCGGAGAATTCAGAAGGTCCTTTTGCTGTAGAAGATTCGAGAAGGGAACAGTTATCAAAGCCCTTACTTGTGAAAATCGCATTTAAACTTGTGAATTTTTTTTTTTTTTATGAACTTGATGGGCGGGGCCGAGTCTGGCTTCACGATTTGAAAACGAAGGGCCGTTTGGTGGCTTGCAAAAGAAAACGGAGTTCACTGCCTCTCCTCCCACCCCCTCGGGTTTCCTCCCGGGGCCCAGCGCAAGGATCTTGGCCGGGAGGGCTCCGGGGACGTGGCGTGGCGCGCAGATGCGAGGTCCCCGCGGAGGGGCGACGTCTCGTGCCTCGGATCCGCCACAGCCCAGGCTGGGAAGGTAGCTCCAAGGAGGCTCTTTGCATGCTCTAAGCTGCCCAAGTCTTGGGAAAGGACTAAGAGTGCTCCAACAGGGTCCGGATGGGTCCGTGTAACTTTGGGCGACAATTATCTCCTCTCCACCAGTCCCCTGCCTCTTTTTCTCCGTGGTTGCTGGCTGCATTTCAAAGTGCAGCCTCTCTTCTGGCTTCCTGGGGGCCCCCCTCTCTCCAGGGACAGGTAGAAAGCAGTTCCCTGTGGACAGTGACCCGCTGCCCCTTCTGCAGAGGTTGCTAACATCGCGGCCTGCTTCAAGATGACATCTTGTTGGTGGCACAACGCAGCCGCCACCGCGGGCCCTGCACTCCTCCTTGGAGCTTGGGACAGACGTGGTGGTGACACTGGACCCTCTCTTCTGGCTTTTGATACCCTTTTCTTCAATCTAGGGAGATTGCTGTGCCTCCTACTTTGCCTCTCCTTCTCTTTAGGCCTTAAGTTTTAGTTACTTTTAATTTGAAAATGCATGTTCCGGAGCCGAGGGGAGGAGGGGGTGGGCAGGTCTGCTCTCTATTAGGGGCCTGGGCGTCCTGCTTTTCAACACACAGCTGTGGCTTGGGAGGAGAAGGAGGGCCGGCTTGGTGGAGGCCAGCCTGCCAGGAGAAAGGGCCTTGTCCGCTGGAAGTCCCAGGAGGATAGCAGAGCCCTGCGATATATTTTTTCAAAGCCTTCAGCAGAGAGACATTGTGCAGTGGAAGGAAGCCAGGCTCTTTGTTCGGCCATTAAAATGGGGAATAATCATCATATTAATATGATGATTATTTATTATATATTTGGGATATAATAAATATCCCAAATAAATAGCGTTGTTCATGTTCAATCTTACGTGCTATAATTCAATACAATCGATACTTAACTGAGCCTAAAATGCCCGAAATCTAAGGATGCAGCTCAGACAGCACAGGGTTTACAGACTAGTAGAGCAAAAAAATCAACAACACATAAAGTTGCAATATAATGCTACAAGCCATGTTGCAGGTACATAGTGACATTATAGGACATGGGAGGAGCCTAACCCCACCTGGAGGCTCAGACAGGCTTCTTAGATGGAAGGGTCATCTTCTCTGCCAACCTAAGAAGAATAAGCATCTAACTGGGGCCAGGCCCGGTGGCTCACACCTGTAATCCTCACTCTCTGGGAGGCCGGGGCGGGAGGATCGCTCAAGGTCAGGAGTTGGAAACCAGCCTGAGCAAGAGTGAGACCCCGTCTCACTAAAAATAGAAAGAAATTTATGGCAACTAAAATATATAGAAAAAAAATTAGCCGGGCATGGTGGCACATGCCTGTAGTCCCAGCTACTCGGG